AATTAATCACCCACGAGGCTGCGTAAACGCGTTTGAACTCTGTCAAGACTGATGGAACCTGAAGAATCTCTAAGACGTTAGCTCGTCCCCCTTTCAGTCTATAATAGGTGCATCGGAGTCAGGTAGTTCGCTGCCAGGCCCACGACAGACAAGACCTCTCTCTTCGGGCAAAGGGTTACAAGACCTCTGTCTTCGGGCAGAGCACTGTCTTCGGATAGAGACCCGACTGAGAAAAACATAAAAAAAAACTATTTAAGTAATATACCTGATCCCGCTTTCGTGGAGGCTGGGTAAATTTTGTTTGACCAGTGTGTAGTGATTACTACTATGTTTGCCACGCCTACATTTTTTCTCAACTGTGATTAATCAAATAATAAATACTAAATATCACAGAACAATTTACTGATCACCACACTGAATTTTTCCTACGGTTAACTCACAAAAATGTTTTTGTTATAAAATCACTGATTGGTTAATTTTTCATCCAATCAGATATTTTTCGTGTTCTTTCAAAATTTATCTCGCGTTCGTGCTGGGAGCCTACCGATAGTAATATAAGTCTGGATTCAGTCACAAATTAAACAGTAGAGTTGAAGACAGTAGAACTCAACTACTCACACGCGTCTACACAGGCTATTCATTCTACTCACTCCGCACACACAACTTGAATATCATTCACGATCAGTTCTTTGTGAACAAGCCAAGTTGCAACAGCTCTGTTAGCTATACCAAATATACAATTGAACTTTCTGTATACTCTTTTGAATACATATTTTATTTCAATACAGAACTTTGAACATTCTATTCAGAAAACTTGCTTAATTACATTTCCTAATTCAGATAAAGCGAAACTACTTTTTTCTTATTATTCACACATGACAAAAATTGCTTTGTATTTGTTGATTTTATATATATTTTATCGTTGAAACACAAATTGGTTTTTCCTTGATTTTAAAAAAATGTATAAATGTTAAATGCTCTTCAACACGCAGCCACATTAATCTTTTCAACAAAACACCATTTACATTGGTAACCCCCAACGTCTAAGGAAAATAGCATTTACAAGTGGACCAGGTGGAAACGCACGAGTTCCCCACAATATGAACCTTGTGTCACAAAGCATCTTAGTTTGGGGTGGGGACTGAGTAGATACCAGATATCAGTCTGAAATTTGACACAAAGTCAGTTTTTTTAACATTCAGGTCCCTGGTCTCTGGTCATATGGTCAGGGTTGTGACACCAAAGTCGGTTTTTAATCGTGGGGACCAGAACAGATACTACAACCGCACCCCCACCACTTCTCCTCCTCTGCCAATCGGGTCCTCTGGTCTTAAACAGTGTAAGGGACGCAACTCTTTCCGTCTGAAAATGTCTGCTTGATGTACAAGCACGGGTGGTCATACCAATGTCTCATACAACCGCTTTTATGGAGCGTAACAGATATTACACTTTTGCGTGACTCAGGACCGTGAATATTAAAACGGACGCCATTTGAATCTTTTTCTTTCCTTTCTCAACCCACAGGCCAGGAAATGCGAGAAAGTTTGAGGGTAGGCCGTTTCTACCCCCACCTCCCCTGATCTCATGATCCACAGGTTGACAGGACAGAACTTCTTCTTCGAAGGAGCAGCCTCATATGCTCCTGTAGGTCTGGGGTCGAAGCACTACTGATATCCAGTCACTGCCCCACAGAGCGATTCTCACTGGTCTCAGATTCCGATTCGCTCTCATCGTCCAGCGGTGGTTGCAACTGCGTCGACGGACGCAGGTCCTTAACGTGACGGGGCACACCGTCGACCCGTACCGCCTGTGGGCTGATCACCTCAGTGACGCGTCGATTCCGTATTTCGTGGTGCACTTCTGTGCGGTTTTAAAGACGACATTTTCCAGCCTCTCTCCGGTTACTTTCAGTTCCGTCAGTGGGTTGGTTTCTGCCCTTCACTCTAACGTGGTAATAATGTGTCTGCTGGCGCCAGGGTGAGACATCATCCTTCGGGGTCACGTTGTATAAGTAGACCGCCTCAGAATTGTTTGACGGTCCTGTGGTTCCGCTCGATAAAACTCGGTACGTGGGCGCACCGGAACCGTAAGTGCCTCCCCAGCCATCCGCAAAAACTGCTCGCTGGTGAATGCGGTGCCATTGTCAGTTAATATCTCCGTTGGGGCGTTCAAGAAAGATGCTGTTTTAACTGACGGATGATAGTGGCTGCATCTTGCCGACGCAGCAGTGCCATATCGCAAACCTGGATGGACCACAATCAATGAGTGTCGAAATGCTCGCCGTTAGTAACATCTATCGCCAGCCGGCTCCAGTGGTTCTCACGCTCTCAGTGCCCTTTCTTCCAGCGAACGGGTGCTGGGTCTATGACTTGACCACGGACGAGGCAGGGTGGACTTATTAAATCGAACTGGGACTTGGCCCGCAGTCTGTGACGTCAAGCCACCTTTGCGGCACCCTCGTTAAACAATCTACCTTTGTTGAGGCTAATTTGACCAGGGACACCTCATTGTCAGTGCGTACTCTTGCACTAATTGCGATCGTGTCGAGCCGTCGTCGGATAAGCATCTCGCTGGTGGCTTTAGTCCGCACCCTGGCCACTCGGTCAGGTATATCGCAAAGCGGAATCGGTGAGACGCAGGGTGGTCGACTTCCAGAGATGTAAGTTGATCCATTATTGACAGCATCGAGCTCCGCTGGGTTTTGTGCTGGAGTCCCTTTCTGGACGTAACCAGCAAGACCACGGCTCCATCGTGAACTATTATACGCCGGTTTACCCAAGAGACTTCCGTCAACCCCAATATAGGTCTTGGCTGTCAACGCACCATCTGCCCCGCGCTGGGTCTTCCTTGCGGATCGCGAGAACCCTCCTTCATCATGGTGTTGAGAGGGGGTCGTGAACTTGTCATCCCATCCAGTGGTGACGTCAGATGCTCTATGATAAACGCCACCCGCAACACGCAGCCAGCCACCTACACAAGAAAATCCTTGCCGCACAAGGAAAATATGCTTCGCCGTGACAACGGAGGGCATGTCTGGGAGTTCGTTTCCCCGTTTCAATACAGGACGTTAAGACCTGCAAAAAACCAAGTCTCTCCGGTTCCTTGCTGAGGCCAAAGTTGTAGAAGATGCTCCTTCACGCGCGCCGCAGATACGACTACCGTCATCAATATATGCAGATGTTGCCCGCTGTATGCGCTCATCCTTCGTTAGAATGGCGTCAACAATCATCTGTAATCGATATTGATCAACCCCATGCAGGGGCAATACCGTTGCCCCTTGATAACACGGTTTGATAGGGCCACAGTGATTGGTAAACTGAAGGTATACCTTTCGAAGATCCAGGATACATTTGATCCTGCTTGTCGCCATTCCCTTAGCTTCTCGGTTCCGCGCGGGCTAAAAAGGGTCCCGTGCTCGTTCAGTTCTCGATAGTCGAGCACCGGCCTCACCTTTGTTTGTACAGCTGACCGCCATTAGCGGGATCCAGGTGTAAATTCCTTCTCTGGATAACAAACCAAACCGTTATTGCCAGGCTCGCAATTTCCTTGTCGTACTCCACAGATCTTATACTGAGCACACTGTTGTACAGCTTCTCTGGCGGTTGATCGTCTGAGAAGAAGTCCAGGACTTTGTGCGCTGGTCGAACTCCGCACGAAAGTCAGGATTTCAGCTCCATTGCTGCGCAGAGCTGAACCTGTTTCAGTGAAAACCCTCTTCGTCAACTTTGGACACACCCAAATTTTTGACGTCCATTCCAGGAGCAGATCATAGAAAGCCCTCCGTCCATGACCATTTACAGCTACTGCAGGCCCATCCGATGCTTGCGCGGATGACGCTCACTCCAAAAAACAAACACTTTTTTGTCCCGTGTCACAACTTCTGCAATGCCTCGTGCGGGTAGCGCCTTGTTCAGCGGCGATCTGGGGAAAATGACAGCATCTTGCCGTGGCCAAAATTAAAGCAACGTCTCCGTGTTCCTCGGTTCTTTTGACTTGACAAAATGTCCAAAGTTTGGCGGTTTTAAATCGTTTTCAAGAATATTCGGGCTCTGTTTTTAGCCCCAGTTCATTGCCTTGACGATTTAGTCGACTTCGTTGTTATTATTGATCCACCGAACGGTAGCTTCCTCAAATCAGGCCAGAAAAGACATTACTGTTTCATGGTCAACCGTCGTTCGGTAAACTGCCTCCGGCGACAAAGGGGTGCTGAATTATTTGTTTTATTTCCTCAAGTCTATAATTCATTTTAAATTAAATTTTTTTTAAAACCCGCTGATTATTCCATCTTTTTGTCGAATTTGTTTCAATAAAATATTTGGAAAATTGTTCCCATTTGATGTACACCAAGCACGGTGGAAATTTGGTTAGGAACCCTTTGGAGCCCCAGACACACCTTGTTTTTTTTTTTATTTTGAATCTTTCTTTTTTTCAACCTGGGCCAGGAAGATGGAAACGTTTGCGAGAAGCAGGGTTCATAAAATCTTTTATGACCGTTTATTTTTCCCCAGCCTCTACCAGATACCAGTTCATAAAAAATTTTTTAATGTCATCATCATCAACCACGTGTTAGCTAATTGTTTGATGCTTTAAAAATAATTTAGAAAACAGTTCCTTATTCTACACCTTCATCAGTCAGTTATGTGCCATGCGTGATAAAAAAAAACTGACGAGGAGGTTTTTTTCCGCAGTAGGTTGCTATTTCTTAATTTCTTTCTGCGGTAGAAATTGCTATCAAGGATAATTGAACCAAATTTACCCATAGCTGGAGGGGAGAAGAATTGTATTATAGCACGTGGTGAATATTAATGGACCGGGATTTTCGGCTCTCGATTCCGAGCCGCAAAACTCCGACGAGGCATCCTTCATAGTCGTGAAAAAAGAAAAAGAAAAAAAATATTACCTGCCCTTATGTTTTGTTTATTTTTGACTTCCGGTTTCTTCTTCCTTTCCTTATTTTTTACAGCTGACCAGAGGAGTGTAAAAAGTTGAACAAATAGAAAATGCCAGGCGGACACGGTTCCAGTTCGAGACATCATAAACTAACTCGAGAAGAAGAGCTTTTGTTGCAGGATTTCAGTAGGAATGTCTCCACAAAATCGTCGGCACTTTTCTATGGAAATGCCATGATTATTTCTGTCATTCCAATTTGTAAGAAAAAAAAAACACTTTTTTTGTCTCTTCTTCTTGCAATGCCACGTCATCTCAAAATGAACAACAAAATTAAAGCAATCCTTGACAAAAATCAAATTTTTTAAATCGTTTTCTTGTTTTTAAGTTCATTGTTTTAGGTCCTTTATTATTGATCTAGCTTCTTGTGTTAATTATTCATGGCTCTAGTGGTTGAATTATTTTCGTTATAATTCATTTTAAATTAAATTGTTTTTAAAATGATTATTCCATCTTTTTGTTTTGTTTCTAAAATATTTTGAAATTGTTCATTTGAATTCTTTAGGAATATTTTATTTTTTTTTTTTTATTTCTGTTTCTTTTATTTCAAAGTAACTTTATTTCCAGCTTGTTTTTTTAAGGTAAAAAATAATTTGTCTTAATTCCCTTGAAATTAAAAAAAAATTACTGTACAAAATGCTCCGAAAAATTATAAAGAATTGTTTTGAATTTTAAAACTATATGAATATTTTAAATTTTTATTTTTATTCTAAATCTGTTAAAAAAAGTATTGATCAAAATGAGCATTGGTTAAAAAATGCCCCAAATAATTATATATATTTTAAAATAACACCTTCAAAATCTTTATTTGAAATACCAACAAAATTTTTTTTTTTTTTTTTTTTTTTTAGAACAGAAATTTTGGTTAATCTTTCATCTAAAATTTGCTTGCCATGGAAAATTTTAATTTGCGGTAAAAAAAAACAAAAAAAACATTGATCTGGAAATTCTTACAAAACTCGAATAATTGTCGGATTTTAACGACACCTTCAGGATTTGTTTACTAAGGAAATTATTTTGGAAGTGTTTCTCTTTAAATCTAGGAATTTTTATTTATTTTTACATCTGTTACCCCCACACACATACACGCTTATATCAAATTTCAAGAAATTTTTATAGAAGTTAATGTTTTTTTTTTGTTTTTTCATATTTTACTTATAAAGGACAATAAGAATTTAAAATCGTAAATTTTATGATGAAAAATCACATAGTTAAAGTAAAGATCACTTTCTTTCCGTCTTCATGTAATTTTGATTTTGGGCATAATTTCCAAACGGCCTGCTATATACAAGGAAGAAAGGATTGTGGCAATTTTACATCCTTAGTAGCAGTCCCCACCCCGCTCAAAAGGCACTCTAGGCAAATTATGAAATAAAACTGGACATATTTGGGTCTGATTTTTGATCTCATAATTTGAGAGCCGCCTTGCACATTCAGTACACATTTTTTAAATTTACCAATAATTATTTCATTTAGAAGATTTTTAAGAGTGAAAACAACAAAAAAAGTAAAATAAATAAAATTAAGTCACTCAAAAAAAACTGATGATTTGAAAAATCTTAAAATTAAAACTTCAATCTGTTGCCATAGATTTGAAAATTTATTAAAGCAAAAATATTTTTGTGTAACTTGACCTTTTCTTTTTAAGCAACACTAAAATTGCAATACATTTTCACTATTTTGACTTTTAATTATTTAAAATTAAAATCTAATGGAATCCCTATTTTAATAACCTTGGTTTAGTTTTTGTTCAGTTAAAAATTTTGTAGATCACCTGAAAACCCCTTTTTAAGTGTCCATAGAATTTAAACCCTTTTGAACAAAGGTAAAACTGAAGCAGAAATCTGTTTTATTTTCATAAGAAATGATAGTGGTACCAAAATCAGCAAAGATGTGGAAAATTGTTTTAACCCTAAGATAGAAGTTTGTCCATAAAACAGAACTTCTATTGTGATCTTCAGACTTGTAAAGAACATGTAAAAATATAAGCATTTTCTTAAATTGCCTGACTGGTCTGCTGATGTCATGAAAATGGGCAAAAAAAAAAATCAAGCAGTATCCAAACAGTGATAATTATCTATAAAGGCTAATTTGGCTTTAAATGAGAAGCTGTCAAAACAGACAGCATTTTTTTTTTCTTTTTTTTAAAATTTGACCATTTTCAGGTCCTTATGAAAATAAAATTAAAAAAAAAAAAACACCTTAGTTGATTAGATTTTTGTAATCTACAGTAAATACTAACTATTGTCACCAACTTTCAAATTTGTACATGAAAATTTTTGGAGTTATGAAGCCCTCTTTAGCAAAACAAAAAAAAGCACTAAAGGTTGTAGAAGCTATAATTTAAAAATTTTAAAGGATCCAGATTTAATATTTAGGATTTATCAATAAATTTGATCATAGAATACCTGTGAATTTTTCCAAATGTCTCTGAGAAGGTCACCTGTGGTTGTTGTCTGGTTCAAGATGGAATAACCAAATTATATATTTTCTGTTAACAAAATGTCTTAACTTTTGAAAAGATGCAGCCTTTTAACTTTTATCACTCTGTATGTGACTTCATTTGCTGTACAAAAAGTTTATCTGGCCACTCTAGATGACTGATCCCCTGAACAATAGTAGATTTGAATTTCATTGTAATATTCTACTATGGCAACAGAAAACAAACTTTGAGTGAAATTAACAATAAGGAGACTGCAATTGCAAGGCCTTGAAAAAGAATGCAGTGGAAAGGGAAGTAATTCCAATAAGGCTGAAGGTTAAAAATGAACTAATTTTCAATTTTTAAAAAAAATTTCTATTATATACCTACAAAGGTGTGCCAAAAAATCAATTTAAATTAAAAGCAAGTTCCATCCTGGGTAAGATGATAAACTACATCCGACAGCAAGGCCTTTGATCAGGAGGTTTTGTGGCGTATGGAACCACCTCTTAATTGCTGATGTTCCCAGCTCCACTCTGACCCGAAGTGATAGCACCTGTTAGGGTCCCAGCTATGGACAAATAGATAACTGTCACACTGGGGGTGGAAACAATATGAAAGTGTAAAAATAGGTTTTAATACCAGCAGTACATTTTTGGAAAAACATTATCAGCAATGAATTTTTGAAGAAAAAATATAACCAGCAATACATTTTTGAAAAAAAAAATATTAGCAGTAATAAAAATTTTGTTGGCATTAAATAACCAATTGAGGTTGATATGCCATAAACCAAAACCTAAAAGCAAATTTTATTTGCCACTTAAATCAAGCTTTTACTTACCTCTTACCTACCTGTAAACATTCTAACCTGTTTGTATCTGCTTTACTATGAAATCCAGAATTTCTTTTTACTTAATCTTGTCTCCTTTTTTATTTTTTATTTATTTATATATATATATATATATATATATATTATTATATATATATATTTTTTTTTTTTTTTTTTTAGGGTTGTTCTGGAGAATTCATCAAATGGATGTCTATGAGTCAGCTATTCTCTTTGTGTTGGGCACAATCCTCAGTTGTTATTTAGTTGCGTTTGCCTACAAAAATGTCAAGTTTGTGCTCAAACACAAGTAAGAACCCCATTTTTTCTACCCTGTTTACTTTTTTTTTATTTACTTCACAGTGATTTAACCATTACAATTCCACACTAACTTTCGGAGTTGTCTCCCCTGCATCTACATTTTTGAACTTTTAGTAGTTTTTGAAATATTGTTATAAAATTTTCAGGGAATTTGCATGAAAGGATGCAGAAAAATGGAGACCTTTTTATTTTATTTATTTTTTTTTCTTTTGAGAAAAAAATAATATAAAAACTAAAAAACAAATACAACAGAATTGATGAAAAACTATTCCAATTCAATCACATTGTGAAAGCCTTGCATATATAAAAGGGGGGCCTGTTGTCTAGTAAGACTAATACAAAGGTCAATTTATCAAACCTAGCAAAAAAAGCAAGGCCAAACATGGTTTCATTTCTTCACAATAAACATTTTTCCAAGCTCTGATTTGTGAGTTGGCTTTTGCTGTGTCACCTAATTTTGTTTTCATATCATTTGCATACCAGTTAGTTTCCACTACCATTTAAATTGAATATGTTCTTGGGTAAATCCGAGAAATTCTTCTTCGTTGCTCTCACTGTCCATGAAAAGTTCCTCTATCAATGTAACAGATCCTTGCCTTCCCCTGGGGGTTGCCATTGTGATAGAAAAATGAATGTTTTTAAAACACTTTATTTTTTAGGCTTTGTCACATTCTCTATGTATCTGTATTTTTTTTGAGATATATTGAAAATAAGATTTTAGTTTGGGTTACCTAATCAGAGGTAAAAAAAAAAAAAATGGTTAATAATTTGTTATTCACTTCACCATGAAGAAAAGGTTTTAATAAATTTTAAAAACCACTCAATATATCTTAGAAGGAAATGCATTGTAATTCTTTCTTTCTCCCCGCCCCCAGCACAAACTTCTTACCTCCACATTCAGTAAGAAGCTGCAAAGCATTATCTGTTGAAATGAAACTTATAAGAGCTGTCAAATTTTCCCTTATGTTTTTTTGTTTTTTTTAACTATTGTTTTTGAGAATGCAATTTTTACCAGTATTTAGGTTGGACTGATCTAATAATGACTGATTCTATTAGTATTATCTTTCTTTGACGGAACATATACCTGTTTAAAGACAGATCTTAGGCTTATTGTCTTTAATGGCTTAAGGAAAAAACATAAAAACAAAGTAGTTGAATGACTATAATTTTTTTTTTTTTTTTAAACAAAAATTGTAACAAATTCATTTTAACCTCGAAAATAGCACCCTATTCTTAGAATAAGTAAAAGAAAATAATCATTTAAAAATTTAAAAAAAGCAAAAGGAAACTGAATACATTTTGAAAATCATATTTCAATTTTTTATGGACCAAAGTTAAATATCCAGCTTTTTTTTTTTTTTTTTTATAAAAAATGTATCAGTTTCATTTTTTTAAAAGAAAATATAAATTTTCAATTTAATCCCACCAATTAAAGACAATATTACCAGCCACAAATGTAATTGAATGAATATTAAAAGGAAGACTGGACACTATCTTAAAATTTTATTTTAATTTTTTTATGGAAAGAACTAAAAATCTATCTAGTTTCATATATTTATTTTTAACATGAATGCTACTTTAGTGGAATTGATTAGAATTTTGACAAAATATCAGGAGTCCCTTTTTCTAGATGAAAAATGTTCTAAGTTCTAACCAATTTTGAATGGATATAACTTGACTGCTCATTAATCGCCTACCTTAAAAATAATACCATTTGTTTTATTAAGGGCTCTGTATCAAAATATATTGAAAAATAAATTTTTGTTTGGCTACTTACTCTGAACATAGAATCTGTTTAAACTATTGATCAAATTGTTCATACATGTACAATCCATATGCTTAGAGGGAGAAAGGATCATATTAGACTAGGTATGTCCATTAGGTCACGTAAAAAATCGGCATATCACGATTAAAAATGACTCATATATCAACGAAAACAAAGTTTTGTTTATGTTATGTTTATGTTGTTATGAAGAGGAAAGACCAAAGTATTTTTTAAATATTTTTTACTCCTTTCTAGCACGTAGAAAATTTTGCTTAAAATTATGTTTTTTTTACGACAGCGCAAACAACTAAAAAAAGGTTTGTTTTATTTTGCGCTTTTTCCTTGGAAAACACACGTTAATTAGGAAATTCTTGCAAAAAATGAAATAATTGTTGGATTTTTAATGAAATTTTCAGGGCTTATTCAGAAATGAATGAAATTATTTTTGAAATTTTTTTCAGAAAATCTTGTTAAAAGAGATTTTTTTAAACATGTTTCCACCCACTTACATATTTTTCAAGAAATTAAATAAACGTCCCCGGATTTTTTTTATTAGTTATAAACAGGAATGTTTGTAGAAAGTAAATCATCATTTTTTTTTTTTTTTTTGTAAAACATTTACTTTTTTATAGAAAATCAAATTTGAATTGTAAAAAAAAAATGTAAAAAAAGTATGACATTTAATTAATTAGAAAAGCTTACACCTGTTTTGTAGATACGTTATACTAAGGACATTATTTTGTGAAGAAATAAATTTTTTTCGATGAATAATGTATTTTTTAAATTTTTTTCCAAATTTTAAAATTTTTTCATTAACGTCTTAAATACTTCAAAAATCTTTTAAAATTCTTTATTTTTTCAGCCAAATAATGCAATGATAACGTTAATGAAAAAAATGTAAATTTACAAATCAAACTTTGAAAAGCACATAAGTCGTTTACACAAAAATATTTTAAAATAATTTTAAAAATAAATTTTATTGAAAAACGTTCATAATTTCTATGTATGGAAATGTATCGTGACATAATCCTTAAAAGGTCACGTGATTTGTGTAAATCTGGCACATGATTATTTTCTCCTCTGTCCAGTTCAGATACACATCGTTAACGTGTTTGCAGAAATTAATAAAAAAAGTTTAAAGAATTATGTAAATAATAAAAAAAAGTTTAAAGAATTATGTAAATAATAAAAAAAAGTTTAAAAATTATGTAAATAAAAAAAAAAAGTTTAAAGAATTATGTAAATAATAAAAAAGTTTAAAAATTATCTAATTTTATTACCATTATTATAAATAGTTTTGTCCCTTTATTCTAATAAAACTAAAAGCGTTCACTCAGATTTCTAATAATTTTCATTTGTGGTCATCCGTAGTAGCTCTCGTCACTCAACACGTAGATCAAATATTGGATAAAAACACCAGTACCAATCGTTAATAATTGGTTGTATACTACTTTTTTTATGCTAGAAGTAAGTAATAATTCTTTTAAATCAGATTAATTTAACATTAAATTTTCTAATTTTTACTAAAATAACGTGTCAGAAACTTTTGTTAAATATTTTTAAAATCGATAAATTTGTGTTTGTCTATAAATTTCTTAAAATTAAGAAAATGGCGGATTTTTAAAAAACTTAAAATTCCAAAACTCAATTTGACATTCCAATGTATATAGTTTCTATCTGAAATACACCAGAATTGTTTACTAAATAGAAATAATAAATTTAATGATTAAACTTTCAATTAAAGCTAAAATAAAATCTTAAAGCATGTTTTTTCATTTTTTTAAATTTATTTTAAAGTTAGGTATCGAAAATTTTGCCGAAAAAAAGTGGAGGTACCTATATTAGACCCTCTTCTTTTTTCTTGTCTTGTTTTGTATTTTTTTTCTCTTTTGGTCTCTCCTTTTTTTCTTTTTTTCTTTTTTTTTTCATGAACAGTAATTATTTTATTTTGCATTTGAATGTACACACAATGTTTTTTTTTTTGTTTTTACTTCTCTTACCTCAGGGTTGCACAGAAAAGAGAAGCTGCCGTCAATATGGAGATGATGAAGAAACTTGCAGAAGATAAGAAGATGAACAAGAAAGAAAAAGATGAGAGGTTTGTAACATTTCTTTTTTCTTTTTTTTCTTCTCCTAATTTAAGTATTAGATGATATAATTATGTTTCAAGTTAGAAACTTTCTGTGGAGGATTATTGTTATTGAGACAAAAGTCCTGCAATTAATTTTAAGCAAACACAGTTTGAATTTCATTTAAGAGTGCTTATGTAAATTTCATAATAATCTCCTTGGATAAAGTGGTGAATCCAGTTCTCCCTGCACTGACCCATTATCAGTCATCTTGGCTAGAGTAACTGCTAGTATGCAACAAGTGGATGAGTACATGACCAGACTGCTCAGCCATACATGCCTTTTAATCAAAAGCCAACTTTTTCTGTTAGAAATTCTTGAAAATTTAGATTTTGAAAGAGATGCTTCTAAATTATTTTTTCTTTCTTTCTTTCTAACTTATTGTTTAAGCCAAAATGACAATTTGGTCTGATTTCTCTCATTGAGATTTGATGGACATTTTGCTTTAACGTGTTAAAAAAAAATATCTTATGTTTCCTGTTGCCTTCTATTGCAACATTGATTGGATATCCAGATTTTGTTTAAATTTTGTAACTTTGGATATAAGGAATCATCCTTGTAAAAAAAATATCAGATATAAATTATTACAGTAGAAAGGTTAATAAAATAGACAAAATAATTTATTCTAGCCTTTTCTCCTGAATCCATTTCAGACAATATAGTAGCCACTTAATTCATTAAGCATTCTACTTACAACCCATTAAATCTACTTACAACCCATTAAATCCCACCATCTTCAATGTGAGATAGAGGGTATTAATGCCACTCCTTAAATTAACAGGTGTCTGTGTTTTAAGGGCCGGAGGATTGGTGGGGGGGGTATTATTTTTATAGATTAGCATGCATTAGAACTTCAAGCCACACAGTTTGTTAGAAGCAAAATTTTTTATTTATTTTAGAAGGGTTCTTTTCAGATGGAATCCCAAATCAATCCTGACTTTTTTTTTTTTTTTTAATACAAATTTGAAGTTCAAAAGTGCTTAACGTCATCGAATATTGCGAGTACAAATGATTTTTCCTCAATTCATACATTTATCAATAACAAAGACAGGTTTGACATTTTAACGATTTTTAAATAGTACACAAAGAATACTTACTACTGTTTTTAATTACTCGCACAAGGAGCATAAAGCTTTTAAGTTGGCAACCGAGAGAAATGTACCACTTTCTCCAGGGAATACTTTTCATTCTCGTATGGAGGATTTAGCAATTACTTGACCATGTCTCATGGCATTGACAAACACGCGTCTGTTTGTGTTTCAGTATTGCAGTCTTGATCTTAGTAAATACAGATTAAGAATGTAACCTTGTAAAATCACAGGTTGTTATGAATTAACAGAATCTACTATTTGAGTTGTAATTGTGTGTGGTCAGTCAGTCTGCGGTTCATTGTTTTTCTTGTTGTGCGTGGCTGGTTTTCTGCTTGTTTTGCATTTCTTGTTAACATTATCCTCCTTCTGTTGTTGTCTTAACAGGATTCTCTGGAAGAAAAATGAAGTTGCTGACTATGAAGCCACAACTTTTTCTATTTTCTATAACAACGCCCTCTATCTGACATTGCTGATCACCATCTCATTTTTTATGCTGAAGAGTCTCAATGCCACTTTGTATCCTTTTTCATCGACTTCATTTTAACAAATTTTATTGTCAAGCTTAAAATCTTCCTTTTCTATATTTGCTATTCAAAACTCTATTTATTTTTTTTGTTTGTTTGTATGTGTGTTTGTTTGTATGTGTTTGTTTGTTTTGCTTCTTTTTGTTTCACAGCCAAACTGGAAAACAGAATTGGATTTTTCTTCTAGCACATAAGTCAACTATCTTGAAATTTTGGCTTAATTTCATAGAAATTTCTAATAGAGCTTGACATTTTTTGAATGACATATTTATTATGTTTTGGAAACTGAAAATAAATGCTAAGTGTTATTTATGTGAACATGTATTTATTTTCTAGGATTTCTCAAATTTAAATGAATCAAATTCTCCATTTTAAATTCTCTTTTAAGGGCCATATTAAGTGAAAGGCAATTGTAGTAAAACTATATTTGTTTTTTTAGAATTCATAAAATTTGAATAAAAATGTTTACTTCTTTCAATCCTG